AATTTCTCTACCATAAGCCACCTGATGAAACTGAGGAGTATTTATGTTTGTAATAAAGCCCTTTTGTGGGAAAAAGTAATTCTGATTGGCTGGGCCTGGCTCCCCAGTGGGTGGGCCTGGCTCCCAAGTGGGTGTTCCTATGCCCTCCCAGGCCCTCCCATGGCTGCGCCTCTGCCCAGTCATGTGAAATCCATAGATTAGGGCCTAATTTATTTATTTAAATGGACTGATTTCCTTATATGAACTGTAACTCAGTAAAATCGTTGAAATTGCGTTCATAGTTTTATTCAGTATATTTCCATATTGAAGCCATGCAATTATTGTTCAAAAACATGTTCAACATATTAAGCAAATATGGTATAGGCCTACATTTTGTTATTTTGTTTCTGTAGGCTATTTAACAAACTAAGCTATATCGGACTAACATTATGATTGGAGTTGTTTATTTTGAGGACCATAAATACACATCTTGAAGCAACCACATATTTAGCCATGGAGCACATTCTGATTTGCCAGTGAGGGGTCAAGTCTCGACACACCTTCAACTTGTTTATTCATCAAAACCTAGCCCTTTCGCGCCACTACCAGCTACTGCACCCATAACTTTGGTTGTGAAAATAGCTAAAATATTTCTGACACATGCAGTAATATAGTGCTATTTGTTTAGGTGAGGGTGCACATTTAAAAGATGGTTTGCGATGAGTCGGACCGCAGAGTGAAGGAAAAGCAGCCAACAAGTGCTCAGCATATGTGGGAACTCCTTCAAGACTGTTGGAAAAGCATTCCAGGTATATATATATTTAGATTTGTTTAACAGTTTTCTGGTTACTACATGATTCCATATGTGTTGTTTCATAGTTTTGATGTCTTCACTATTATTCTACAATGTAGAAAATAGCACAAATAAAGAAAAACCCTGGAATGAGTAGGTGTTCTAAAACTTTTGACCGGTAGTGTATATATATATATATATATATAGCTTATCATTATAGAATATGCATAAAATGCATCCTCCAAATGCAACATCTGCTTATAACCACACATATTGTCTCAAGAAAAAATTATGTTTTTAATATCTTCAAACACAAGTTACGCATACCGAATTTCAAAATACGCCATCATCACTGTCAACCGTGAATGATAATTCGTCACGGTTTACTGGTGAAACGTCCAAACTGCACCTGCATGCCAATCATTTGATTGATCTCAATCAGAGTCAGATGAACTTGTGGATATCATTTTTATGTCTCTGTGTCCTGTATGAAGAAAGTTAGAGGGAGTTTTGCGAGTCAGTGCTAACTAGCGCAATGACCTGAAGTCTATGGGTATCTACTAGCATGCAATCCCGAAGTATCCCTTTCATATCATTGCACTGTTTGCAAGGAGAGCTTTTGATGCGAGTAGGCATTTCATTGTATCGTGTAGATTACACTACGCTGTATTTGATTTGATTATCTTGAACACATGGTTACAATATACCCTATTACAGAATAAAAGAAAAGAGGTGAACTATCAATTCATATAATTTATTTGCGTAGGTTAAACATGCTATCAAATCAATTGACCAAGTAGTGAACATAAATCATTATTACGTAGAATTGCAGGAAGTTAGTTCTAAAACAGCCATTCAAAATCAAGATTTTGGTGTGGTGTATTCATGCATCTCAAACTATAACCTAACCTAAATGCATTATTACCTCCATCTTGGCCAAATTGAAATGTTCCGACGGACCACCGCAGTGCACACGTAGCCTACAGTTCTTCATCATTCTCGCCAACGCCAGAGAGAAAACAGGGAAGAAACCACCATTTACCTACCTCTAGGCTGCTATACATATTTATTTGGTTTGTCATTCTATTGTTTTTCATGGAATTTTTGTGGTAATTAAATAAAATGTGTTTAGAATTGATCACAATTAAAAGGTTTTACCAGTTCTGTGTATTCTCAAATTGAAAAAAGTGTGGGAGCGCCACTACACCCCTGCCATTGCTTTAGGTTTGTCAAAATAGATCCCATAGTCATTGTTAATTTATCTGACATCTGTGCATTCTTTTCACAATCCACAAGCGCTCAGACAGGGGCTTTAACAGAATAAAGTCATTTCATGTCTTTCCTATGCAGGGCCAGTTTGTGTCCAAACAAAGCCTACATCTTCGTATCTCTGTGTCTGTTCTCTCATATATTGTATGTAATGAAGCGATTATTAGGAGCCATTATCTTTTAAACAATAGATTTCTGAAATAACGTTTTGTCAAGCCTTCATTAGCCAAGGCCTCCCTCTGTGGTCTGAATGCAGGCCACATTTGCAGCAATTACTTGACCAGAAAACAACTGCCAATCCTTCTTAAAGGGGAAGGATTCCAATTATGAAGCCTCTTAAATCCTTTGGTTTTAATTCCATTCTCCTCCAGCAGCATGCCCTGAGTATCTGCACCTATGCACACAAGACTAAGTGAGTCACTTACACACACTGACACTCTTATACAAAACACACACACATTCACATATGCACACACACACATACCGACACACATCATATGCAGCTGCTACTCTGTTCTATATTTTACTCTTATTATTATCTATCCTGATCAGACCTGGGATAACTATAACTATGTTTTGTGGAAAGTAACTATTTCTTCGGGGGAACAAATAGTTACTTTGGACTACTTTTTAAAACTATTTGAATACAGATCTCAGAATGTGACTACTTTTGTAAATATATTTGAATACAGATCTCAGCAATAGACTACTTTTCTGAAACTTTTTGATTGGCTGCCTTCAACAAATGGCAGGGCTGTATCTGGAACTGCATGTTGAAGATAGAAATATAATGAATAGAGCACACACAATCTCCTATATTATTCCAATCTATCTGACAGTCATATTTGATCTACACAATACATTTATATCTGAACATTTTGTAAATGTCCATTCTCCTTAATGTCCATTGCCCCAAGTGTACATTATAAAGTCAAACCAATTAACCAATTATATTTTGGACAGATAAGTATAAATAAAGTTGTGATGCTCAACTACTGTATGACTCTTTCAACATGCCACTGAAAAGGTTGAAATACATTTAATGATACCTGAAAATACTGCATTAGGAGGCATCTGAGGGTACGTTTTCTTGTTTCAAACACACACACACTATACCATTCAACTAACTATTGTAGTTTTTGGTTCTTCATCAAATATTTGGAAGCCATCAAATAATGTTTTTGTTTTGTTTTTGCATATATTCAAATATTATTTGGTTTTCTGATATGTATTCAAAATACCTTCAAATATGATTAGTTTTTCTGAGGCCTGTATTTGAATATCAAAGAAAATAGTTGCATGTAAGTTGAAACTCTATATAAACTATATTAAACTACCTTGAGTATTTGAAAAGTTGGTATTTTCAAATAAACTACAAAATACAAATATTTTCTGCCCCGGTCTGATCCTGATGCCTAGTCAATTTACCCTGCCTTTATGTACATATCTCCCTCAAATACCTCATGCCCCTGCACATTGATCTGGTACTCCCAGTATATAGCTAAATTATTGTGTAATGTATTCCTCTTGTTATACTATTTTTATTTTTCTTATAAAAAAAAAATAACTCTGCATCGTTGGGAATGAATCGTAAGCAAGTATTTTACGGTAAAGTATACACCCGTTGTACTCGCCGCATGTGACCATTTTTTATTTATTTGATTTGCCATTAAGCAGAGGGAGGAACTTGTTACAGGGAGTTTCGATACTTATTACTTTGCTCACTTACTGTATATGCTTGCAGACTTTCAAGGAGGTTGGGAGGAGCAAGTGCACAGCTAAGGGAACTCCCATCCACCGTCATGTCTGATGGAGGAGTCACAACTCATGGCTCAGCATCGGAAGAGGATGTGTGTACTATAACTAAGCTACCTGGATAGAGGTAAGTACATTTACATATGCCACTAGTGATATTGTTGTTTATTTTGAGTTGATAGTACTATTACTACTTAGTTACAACAACTACTTCTTGTTGAAGATACCATCATTGTTACGATTATTATTATTTTCATTTCATTGCAGTCTTGTGCCATTGTTTTTCCAATGTCATAAGGTGTACTTAATCTGAATGCATCTATTGCCTCCTGCAAACTTTCAAAACTATAAAATAAAGACAGATATTTATTCTTAGACCTATGTTTCAAGGATCAAATATGATTTACTATATAATCGTATAACTTGGCAATTCTATGCTATATCTATTTTGCTGATAAATGTAGCTAGCTATAACATTATAATTAGAAATATGTTTATTTTACAAACACCTGTTGATAATTTCAGATCATATTTTTGAACTAAACAGCAAATTGGTATTGATTTTAAACATATAATTGACTTAAACAAATTACATACATCAATATTTCAACAAATTACATAGATCAATTTATGCTTTTGCATTCAAAATACCTTTTAATGCAAACTGGTGCACAAGTTTGTATGACAAAGATACAGAAAAAAAGTTCAGGTTTGGTTGATTTCAGTCAAGCATGGAACATGAAGAATAGTCAGAAATGTCAGATGAGAGTTGTGCATATCAATGTCAAATATGCCCACAGTTTTCCAACTGAAGGGAAATTACTTGTTACTGAAGTAACATTACAACCAATACTGTGTCATTGCATTTGCACAATATCAAGAAGTGGCATATGCATATGCAAGTTGCATATAAGTACTTTCACAACAGAACTTTCAGTATAGTAAACTGTGGTTTTATGAGACTAACATGTCTAACTACCCAAACTCTGTTTTGCAGACAGACAGGACATTTCAAATACAAGATCAGCAACCCCCAATGGAAGCAGCCTCCATTTCTCCTCTGACTTGCTTTCTCGTGATATAATCCCTATGTGAGGAGAAGCGACCACCTGTACTTCTGTTTGCCTGTCACGTGTCCAACTATATCTGAGGGTATCCCTTCAGAAGCTGGACAACATATCGAGCTACCTGAGAGCTCTTCCGGATGCATTTGTCAATGGATACCTTGGGAATGGTGAATGACGGCTGCCTGTCACCAGACAACTACCATGACATGGTGAAGGGAGGGGGGTCTAGCGTAGGAGGCCGGGTCCACAGCATCGATGTGATCCTGGGCTTCAGTAAGGACCAGGAACCCCTGCTCACCCCCGTGGGGGATGTGGGGGCCCATAAAGTGGACACAGAGGGCCTGGAGTACCAGGGGAAGCAGGTCCAGTCAGACCCATACGGACATCTCGCCAGCCTGGGGGACATCACACAGCACTCTGCCTTCCACGGTCAGTACGATGGTTGTTATTGATTGATTGGTTCAATTAATTAATTGATAGATTGCATTATTTAATTTACATATACAGCCACAACACCAATGTGCATGCATTGGTGCAAGCAGTGCATGTGAGATGACTTATGTCAATTTTTGTTGATGTGATATTGATGTGATTCTAAATATTGGCACAATCCCATAGAGCAGGTCTAGTTTTAAATTGCATCATTGGATCTGACGTGTCACTAGAGACAAACTATAATAGTACAAGGAAAGTGTCAATGGGGAGTTAATGAGGAATGTATGTTGGTCACAGATTGAGAAACAACAGTTTGACCAGTAAAGACTTTACATTTTGTCCAGTAAAATTAGTAGTCAGAATGTTTGTTTAGAATCTTTGATCCAAGATCAAAGGCAGTGACACACTGTGCTCGGGTTCTCATTTTCGGCAAAGATTCAGAGACTACAGTTTATCACTGCAGTAAAGCCACAATATATTGTTACTTGTTGTAATGAGTATTTTTCATAACATGACATAACAATTATCCATTACTGTAACATTACAGCATATTAACTAAGCCAATGATCTGATGATAATCTCAATTGATTTTGGATTCATTCATTAACAAGCTCTAATGGGATCTACCATCCATCCAACTTCACCCAGTTTTCTTAGAAAATAAGATCTGGTACTTGGGCGGGTAGAGAAGCCAAGTAACGTCTTTGTGTGGATTAGAGCTGGCCAGCCCAGGGCACATGGGGACGCTCAGGTTTAACAGGTGGCATCTGTCTCCATGGGATTACTGGGACAGAGGAATGCAGTCAAAGACATTATGACGTCACCCGCAGAGACTCTCAGTGGAGAGGCCTGCAGCTTTGCATTGCCTTTATCCTCTGTTGCAATATCCATCTTAAGTAGCATGCTAGCTACCTAGAATGATGCAATATAATGAACATGTATTCTAAGTGGTATGGATATTGGAACTGTGGCTAAATGCCATGTGATTGTGAATTGTCTACCATAGATTATGCAGAAGTTGCTGTCCAAAGTTGTGAAATACACTAATTCACATCAAACACTATATTCACCTTGCACCATTTCCACCAAAGGGAAACAAACTTTCTAACCACGTGAAAGCAAGACTTAGTATGCCACATTTGGTAAACAGAACTGGCACTGCCGGATGAACCAAAAGGCTCATGCAATAGGCATATCTAAACAAACACTCCTCTCCTCTTCTACTGTCTTCCTTCAGAATCAGGCCTTTTCTCCAGTGATAAGTGTGATGGGGACCTGGGAGATCTCCAGAAGGGGATGGACAGTGACGGGGAGAAGTCCCCGGAACCCCCAGAGGAGGACCACCCCAAGAAGAAGCACCGGCGTAACCGCACCACCTTCACCACCTACCAGCTCCACGAGCTGGAGAGGGCCTTCGAGAAGTCACACTACCCTGATGTCTACAGCCGGGAGGAGCTGGCCATGAAGGTCAACCTCCCTGAGGTCCGCGTGCAGGTATGGAGCCTCTACTTCTACTACTACCAGTACCACTACTACACTTATTATAGTGTATGGAGCCTCCGCCTATCTAGTACTACTATTACTCTTATACAGTCCACTGTAATTTTGATAATAATGTAAACTTCTACTACTTCTCCTACTACCTATGTACACTAATCATACTGTCCACTTTGATTATGAGGAGCTGGAAGCTATCTATAACGGATACTACTACTAATACTGTACTACACTAATTATACTGTCCATTCTAATTATTATAATTCTATAGTAAACTACTACCACTACCACTACTACTACTACGACTACTACAGCAGTCCCATTCCGTCCAATGGATTCTGATAATACTACTACCATTCTGTAAACTACTACTACCACTGCCACTGCCACTGCTGCTACTACTACTACTACTACTTCTACTTCTACTACTACTACTACTACTACTACTACTACTTCTACTACTACACACTCATCATACAGCCAGATCCCCATAGAAAAATAGGTTTCTAACCTCAAGGGTTTTGTCCTGGTTAAATACAAAGGTTGAATCGATAAATACACTGCCCACTCCAATAAGGATAATTCTGTACAGTACTGTTGACTAATACTAGGCTACTGACTCTTCTACTGTTCACTCTTCTACTGCTCCTCCTACTACTACTTCAAATACTATTATACCTACTATTATAATACACTGTAGTGTACACTACTGAGTGCCTACTGTAGAATAATAATGCTATATCATCTCTGTCCGTGTCCAGGTTTGGTTCCAGAATCGTCGGGCTAAATGGCGACGTCAGGAGAAGATGGACTCTAGCTGCACGAAGCTCTACGACTCTCCCATGCTGTCCTTCAACCGGCCGCCCATGTCCTCCAACTTGGGGCCCATGTCTAACCCCTGGCTGACCTCTCCCATGAATAGTGCCACCCCCATGAACACTATTCCTGGCTACATGGGCCCAGGGCAGGGCCCTCACCTCCAGCCTGCCTACCCTAGCCACTCCCACAGCCAAAGCTTCCTCAACAGCCCCCCAACATATGGCATGGTGCACCAGGGGAAGGTACAGGGCATGCAGTCAATGGCCCCGTCACCCTACCAGTGTTCTCCCAGCTTCAACGATAAGTACCCAATCCATGAGCAAGTGGAATGTAGCTCCAGCATCGCGGTGTTGAGGATGAAGGCTAAGGAGCATATTGAGTCCATGGATAAAACCTGGCAGCACATGTGATCAGAAGACGGAGAAAATACGTTCTGTATAAGGGATGATCAACTGCAACAAATGTGATTACAAAAACAAAGACATTCTGTATAAAGGATGTTCAACTAAATGAATGTAGCTATGTTTACAAACTTTTTTTTTTCTTTCTTGGTTTAAAATCCTGACAGAGAGGATACTGTGCGTGGCACCTTGTCAGCTTGTTGAGTGACTCGTAAAGACAGAACTGAGCGACAAGCATTGATGATTGATTTATACTCTGGATGCAATTAAGCTTGTACTGTAACGGTTTTGCAATGGACGGCTGAGCTTTTAACAATATATCACTAGTTAATACCCTATCAGTACAAAGCGACAGGAGAGACAGCTACCGCTGCTGACTTCCATATTAGGTCCAGGAGTTTTTCCTGACCATGTGGCCTGACTAGGACATCCTCTTGGCCCTGATGAGGCAACAAGTCCTCGGTGACTCCGTCCTGGCGGAGCGAGGTTGAGATCCTCTGTCTTGCATAATCTGTCACGCCTGCTAATTTGTGCAGACAAGCATACCTCCTTACACCTAATTAACTGTTTTTAAAGTGATTACAGTGCATTCGGAAAGTATTCAGACCCCTTGACTTTTTCCACATTTTGTTACGTTACAGCCTTATTCTAAAATTGACTTTTAAAAAAATCCCTCATCAATCTACACACAATACCCCATAATGACAAAGCAAAAACAGGTTTTTTGACATTTTTGCAAATTTATTAAAAATAAAAAACGTAAATATCACATTTACATAAGTATTCAGACTCTTTACTCAGTACTTTGTTGAAGCGCCTTTGGCAGCGATTACAGCCTCGAGTCTTCTTGGGAATGACGCTACTAGCTTGGCACACTTGTATTTGGAGAGTTTCTCCCATTCTTCTCTGATCCTCTCAAGCTCTGTTAGGTTGGATGGGGAGCGTTGCTGCACAGCTATTTTCAGGTCTCTCCAGAGATGTTCAATCGGATTCAAGTCCAGGCTCTGGCTGGGCCACTCAAGGACATTCAGAGACTTGTCCTGAAGCCACTCCTGTGTTGTCTTGGCGGTGCGCTTATGGTCGTTGTCCTGTTGGAAGGTGAACCTTCGCCCCAGTCTGAGGACATGAGCAGGTTTTCATGAAGGATCTTTCTGTACTTTCCTCCGTTCATCTTTGCCTCGATCCTGACGAGTGTCCCAGTACCCGCAGCTGAAAAACATCCCCACAGCATGATACTGCCACCACCATGCTTAACCGTAGGGATGGTGCCAGGTTTCCTCCAAACGTGATGCTTGGCATTCAGGCCAAAGAGTTTAATCTTGGTTTCATCAGACCAGAGAATCTTGTTTCTCATGGTCTGAGACTCTTTAGGTGCCTTTTGGCAAACTCCAAGCGGGCTGTGCCTTTTGCTGAGGAGTGGCTTCCGTCTGGTCACTCTACCATAAAGGCCTGATTGGTGGAGTGCTGCAGAGATGGTTGTCCTTCTGGAAGGTTCTCCCATCTCCACAGAGGAACTCTGGAGCTCTGTCACTTTTATCCAAAGCGACTTACAGTCATGTGTGCATACATTTTTACTTATGGGTGGTCCCGGGGATCAAACCCACTACCCTGGTGTTACAAGCACCATGCTCTACCAATTGAGCTACAGAGGACCACTCCACCACAATGCAGGAGTGGCTTAGGGATAAGTCTGGACTTGAACCCGATTGAACATCTCTGGAGAGACATTTTACATTTTAGTAGACACTCTTATACAGAGCGACTTACAGTTAGTGAGTGCATATATATATATATTTTGTTCATACTGGCCCCCTGTGGGAATCAAACCCACAACCCTGGCGTTGCGAACGCCGTGCTCTACCAACTGAGCTACATGCCTGCCGGCCATTCCCTCCCCTACCCTGGACCAATTGTGCATCACCCCATGGGTCTCCCGGTCGCAGCCGGCTACGACAGAGCCTGGATTCGAACCAGGATCTCTAGTGGCACAGTGCCTTAGACCACTGCACCACTCGAGAGACCTGAAAATAGCTGTGCAGCGACGCTCCCCATCCAACCTGACAGACTATCATTTGTTTTTCAACAGGACAATTACCCAAAACACTCATCCAGGCTGTTTAAGGGCTAGTTGACCAAGAAGGGTGATGGAGTGCTGCATCAGATGACCTGGCCACCACAATCACCCGACCTAAACCCAATTGAGATGGCATGGGATGAGTTTGACGCCAGAGTGAAGGAAAAGCAGCCAACAAGTGCTCAGCATATGTGGGAACTCCTTCAAGACGGTTGGAAAAGCATTCCTCATGAAGCTGGTTGAGAGAATGCCACGAGTGTGCAAAGCTTTTATCAAGGCAAAACGTGGCTACTTTGAAGAATCTAAAATCTAAAATATATTTTGAGTTGTTTAACACTTTTTTGGTTACTACATGATTCCATATGTGTTATTTAATAGTTTTGATGTCTTCCTTATTATTCTACATTGTAGAAAATATTAAAAATAAAGAAAAACCCTTGAATGAGTAGGTGTGTCCAAACATTTGACTGGTACTGTATGTAAATGTGATATTTCCTTTTATTTTATTATTTTTTTGCACCAATTTCTAAAAAGCTGTTTTTGTTTTGTCATTTTGGGGTATTGTGTGTAGATTGATGAGGGAAAAAAACGATTTAATCAATTTTAGAATAAGGCTGTAATGTAGCAAAATGTGGAAAAAGTCAAGGGGTCTGAACTCTTTCCAAATGCACGGTATATATATATATATACTGCATTTATACTCCGAACTCCGACATTGCTCTTCCTACTATTATATAGTTCTTAATTCCATTATTTTACTTTTAGATGTGTGTGTATTGTTGTCATTTGTTAGATATTACTGCACTGTTTTGGCTAGGAACACAAGCATTTCGCTACACCTGCAAGAACTTCTGCTAAATATATGTATGCGACCAATAAAATTAGATTTGATTTGATTTGACTAAATGAGTGTTTTGGCTCGACAATAGCACCATGTCAGCTCCAGCAGGACAAAACTGGGTTAGGGCTGGGAGGCCAGGGATCAGCGACCTGTTGTGTCTCTCTCCGCTGTGCTGTGTCTTCAGCCTGGTGGAGGCCTGCCAGCCCGTTAGGCAGATGAAGCTCCACTCCATCAGGCCTCCCCAGGGGTGTGTGAGGGGTGGGGTGGGGGGGGGGGGTGGGGGGCTACTGCACTAATTGCTCTTGGACCCTATACCATGTGTGGCCACTGTAGCGGAGTGATGTGTGTGTGTGTGTGTGATCTCTCCATAGTTCAGGAGGACAGATGGAAGGCCCCTTCTGGGTCAGTAACGTGTCAAAGTACAGTTATCGATGATGAGTTTGAGGACTTCTTGATTAGTTTTTTATTGATAATATCAAACTGAGATCGAACTATGCCTACCACCTTTCTGTATCTGAAGATGTGTAATTCAAAGGGGCAATCAAGGATTGGTATATACATTTTTGGACTTTTACATTTATGACATATAGCCATTAATTCTTGAAGAATATAACTCTTCCCTTTAATTTCCTTTCACCATATTTGGTTCAGAGGTGCGTTTGGTACTTGCCCAACAATAGAAGGGCTAGTTCTGCGATTTTACATCTTTACATATTTGTTTCCTTACCTTAAACACAGTCTATGGGCAAGGAGTAACTGCAATCCATACTTTGTGATTTAGTTAAACTAGCCACTGCCAAACTGATTTCCCATGTAGGCTAAGTCACCATGGCTGCGTTTACACAGGCAGCCCAATTCTGATCTTTTTGCCACTAATTGGTCTTTTGACCAATCAGATCATATCTTTTGCCAAAAGATCAGAATTGTGCTGCCTGTGTAAACGCAGTGAGAACCGAACACCTGTAACTACTAATTAATACCACTCATTAATTAACAACCCACATTATGATGATGTGCTGTTATTAGTTTATGTTATGCTTGGCAATGGGTGGCGCTGTGCTCAGGCTGCAGTTTACAGGCCTAACTGAGAGGATGTGTTCCATGCTGGAAATAAGCAGACACTCTTAACCAGAGCGACTTACAGTTAGTGAGTGCATACATTATTATTTTTTTAAAATTATTTTTTCATACTGGCCCCCCGTGGGAAACAACCCCACAACCCTGGCGTTGCAAACGCCATGCTCTACCAACCGAGCTACATCCCTGCCGGCCATTCCCTCCCCTACCCTGGGCCAATTGTGCGCCGCCCCATGGGTCTCCCGGTCGCGGCCGGCTATGACAGAGCCTAGATTCAAACCAGGATCTCCAGTGGCACAGCTAGCACTGCGATGCAGTGCCTTAGACCACTGCGCCACTCGGGAGACTGGTGGGAAAGGAGCGTGATTAATGTGGTTTGATTAAAAATGCTTTTCAAACTGGTTCTGGGTTCTGAACCCCCTTAGCCTTGATGTAATTGGAGAGCAGTTGGGGGCAGGTGGGGGCGATTTGATGGCTGGCTCCAGTTTACTTGTCTTCTGTGGAGATATTCACTCTGGAGAAAAAAAGGATGTGTCAATCAGAGAGGAACACACACACGGACGCATGCGTGCATGCACACACACGGGCTGAAGCCATGCACTTGCACGCACACACACACACACAGGTTGACAGAGATATTATAACCCTGGTACAAAATATATTATAACTCAGTGACATGCATTGATTAGAAAAGCAATGGTTGCCTTTTTTATAGAGAGATGTTGATTAATAGTGAATTTTTTTAAGCGATGCACGAACTAAACAGTAGTCAGGCCGACTAGAGTGAGGCCTGAAATACTCAGTGGTGGAAAAGTATAGATACTTGAGTAAAAGTAAAGATACAGTACCCTAATAGAAAATGACTCAAGTAAAAGTCACCCAGTAAAATAGTACTTGAGTAAAAGTATAAAAGTGTTTGGTTTTAAATATACTTAAGTATCATAAGTAAATGTAATTGCTAAAATATACTTAAGTATAAAAAGTAAAAGTAAATGCTATGAATAATTTCAAATGCCT